TTTTTTTGTATAACCCCTTTTTTGAACTATGACCACTAGATGGCAGTGCTGTGTAAGACGGTTTTAATGCCCTGCATGTTTTGCAGCAATGCAGTCTGGGCAACATCACCCCTGGGATATAAGACAGATAGGGTTACTTGTCTGGTAGTCAGCACACTTGAAGTTCCAAGAAGCAGTTCAAACATTTCACGGTAATCACCATGTTGATTGTTGCACCATAGCAGCTGATCTCTAGCCATGTGCAAACAAGCATTTAATCCAACCAAACATCTTACTTGTTGCACATAAATTTATGTAAGGAACTGATTAACTCTATTAATCATCTAGCTTTCAGAAGATGTTTGCAAAGATCTTTTCATATGTACAATTTAATCTACACATGCATCAAGAAGAAACTGTAAAGAAATCGATTCCTCACACTGTAGTTTGTTAACATTTTTAAAACAAGACATCAGAACCCTGAAAATTAGACTTTTAGTGTCACAGGCAGGTCTTTGGACTGCCTTTGCTCGGAGAAAAATCTGAGGGGTGTTATGAAATGAGAGGGAAAGTTATATTTCCATATTAAGGTTCTGCTATCATTAGATATTTTCCATTTATTACCCATTCATAATGGTATTTGTCAGCTTCCTATCTGCATGGCTCCTGTACAAGATCAATTAAAACAACTAAAAGGGCTTTCTTGCAAACTCTCAATAGGTCAAATATCTGGGTTTCCAAAAGTGAAACTAAATGAATCGAGAAAATCCAATCATGCCTGTACACCCAGAAACACTCGCACACTTCCCTTTCTCTTTAATGTCTGGCATTTCTGTCCAAACAAAATCAAGTGCAGTCTGATCACAGATCTAAACAGCTGCAGTCTCAACCTTCTGATACAGTAAATCAACTGGTGTGCACATTTGATATACAACATTGCCATGTGATGTTGATTTGGTGAAGGCAGGGGTGGGGGGTAAACAGGCAGCAGTGAGTGATTGTGGGAACAGTTGCAAGTGTGAGTGAAGACTGTGCTCTAATGCAAAAGTACCGATTAGGTTCTTAGAGACCTTGTGGGCCTGCATTGCAAGGAAATAGATAAACTTCACTTCCAGCCAGTACACAACCTCTGCTTGAACCTCTAATTGTGTTTTAGTTAATCTTGCATGGCTTACTACGACTATCTATCTCTATCAGTCAGAAATTAATATCTGCCTTGCTTCATAACCTCCAGTGCAACAGTCTAGTGAAGATAAATAAGACTGCCGTTTGCAGAGAGAAATAAGAGACTGATTACACATACAGGCACGCATCCATAAGAGCAAACGGTCATTGTCGCAGGTGTGGGCCTGCTGGTGTTGGCCAGAGGGGCGGATGGCGCGATATGGCAGCCTCGCTTCTGTCAGTCTGCCCCAGGGCAGCTGTGGCTACAACCGTAGCTGCCC